TGATCTCCCTGGCTGCTGCTCCTTCCCCTCGCTGGGCTCTGTGTGTGAGAGGCGAGTACAGGAAGTGATGTCACTTCCTGGCCCCGCCTCTCCCATCACACAGAGCACCGCAGGACAGGGAGAAGGAGACCTGGCAGAGAGGGAGAGGAGGTAAAGCTGCCAGGTCTCCATGGGGGGGGGACTTACAGGGCGGTAGGTTGTGGGGCCCCAAGCTGCATCAGGGGCCCCACAACCTATCAATTAAATAGTTTTATTTTTTTTAATTTTGCTGTTCCAGTTGGAGAGATCTTTGATCTCTCCAGCTGGAGCATGGCTGTGCTGCCGGGCCCCTGACTGCCTCGGGCCCTCGGTCCATGACCGAAGTGCCCGAGTGGTCAGTCCGCCCCTGTCTGAGGGCATATTCTAGGCGAATAGCGCTCAGATCCCACGAACACAGTTCTCAGAATCATCGACTGAAGTTTGACTTTCACCGGCCGTTCGTGTGGTTGCAGCCGACTGCAAGTTCCATACTATAGCTATCTGGGGTCGGCCACTTTCGCATTTATTGTTATTTCCACGAAATCTCGCTGTAATTCTCCAAATAACCTAACAGGCTTGTTCGTATAGTCTGTAAATAGGGGATTTCGTTACACAGCTCCCCCTTAGTCCCATGGAACGGCATACCTGCTTAGATCCTAACGGGTCGGCGAAGGGATGTCCAGTAGCACAGGAGAAACAAACAAAAATAACTACTTTTCCAGTTCAGTTTGCCGGGACAGGCCATCGGCATTGGCAATCTGTTTCCCGGGGCGATACTGCATTGTAAAATTATAGGGTTGCAGTGCCACGCTCCATCTGAGTAGTCTGGGGTTATCGCCAGCTACTCTGTTAAGCCAAATTAAAGGGTTGTGGTCAGTCAGCACTGTGAAAGAGCGTCCATACAAGTAGGGTCGTAGTTTCTTAAGTGCCCAGACTAATGCCAGACACTCTTTCTCCACGGTGGCATAGCTGACTTCGCGGGGTAATAGTTTTCGGCTCAGATACGCCACCGGGTGATCCATGCCATCGTCTCCCACCTGGCTCAATACTGCTCCCAGTCCAAACATTGAGGCATCTGTGTGAACGAGAAAGCTTTTAGTATGATCAGGTGCCGCTAACACAGGAGATGCACTTAACGCAGCCTTGAGTTTCTGGAACGCCTCCTCACACTCAGTGGACCAGACTACTTGTCGGGTAGGGACTTTTTGGTGAGGTCTGTCAAGGGTTTGGCAAGGGCACTGTATTCCGCTACAAATTTCCTGTAATAACCTGCGGTGCCCAAGAACGCCATGACCTGGGTTTTCGTCCGGGGTTGAGGCCACTGGGTGATGGCCTCAATCTTAGCGGGCTCTGGTCTCTGTTTTCCTGACCCTACTCTGTGACCTAAATATTGGACTTCAGCCATGCCCACGTGGCATTTCTCAGGCTTAAAGGTTAGCCCTGCATTCTGAATTCGGTTGAGCACTACTGAGATGTGCTCCAGGTGGGCTTCCCAAGTGCCACTGAAGATAGCTATATCGTCCAGGTAAGCACAAGCGAAGCCCTGAAATCCCTCTGCCATCCTTTGAAATGTAGCTGGGGCATTCTTCATCCCAAATGGCATAACCTTAAACTGGTATAGGCCAAATGGGGTGACAAATGCCGATTTTGGAATGGCCTCAGGCTCCAAAGGGATTTGCCAATATCCCTTGCACAATTCAATAGTGGTCAAATAATTCCCCCCAGCCATACGGTCTAGCAGCTCGTCTACTCTGGGCATGGGGTATGCGTCAGTAACGGTCCGATCATTTAGCTTACGGTAGTCCACGCAGAACCTGGTGGTACCATCTTTTTTAGGAACCAGCACTACTGGGGAAGCCCAGGGGCTTTGGGACGGTTCTATGACCACCAGTTCTAACATGTCCTGGAGTTCTGTTAACATGCTTTCCCGTACTGCCTCTGGAATTCGGTAAGGCTGCTGCCGCAGGGGTAACTGGCCTGGGGTCTCCACTCTGTGGACTTCCAGGGTCGCATACCTTGGGGCTGCTGAAAACATGCCCCCAAATTCCTTTAGCAGTTGGGAAGCCTGAGCTTGTTCCTCGGAACCTAATTCTGGACCCAACTGTACCTGGTCTACTCCTGTGGGTTCCTGGGGAAGCATATCTGGTAAAGGGATACCCTCACTATCTTCATATGCTGGAGCGCATACCGCGGAGACCTCCTCTGGTCTCTCGAGATATGGCTTGAGCATGTTTACATGGAAGGATCGCCGGATCCTTTCACTGGAACAGTCTGCCACAATGTACGTGGTATCACTGATCCGCTCTATTACAGTGTAGGGGCCCTGCCAGGATGCCTGTAATTTATCTGTTTTGATAGGTTTAAGCACTAGGACCTTTTGTCCCACTTCTAATATACGGTCTCTAACTCCCTTGTCATACCAGTACTTCTGCCGTTGTTGGGCGGCTCGCAGGTTCTCCCGAACTGTTTCGGTCAGAGCCTGTAGCCGGTCCCTTAGCTCTAGTACAAAGGAGACTATAGGGGTACCTGCTTGTTCCATATCACCCTCCCAATGTTCCCGTACTAGATCCAGGGGTCCCCGAACCCGTCTCCCGTATAATAGCTCGAACGGGGAGAATCCGGTGGACTCCTGGGGAACTTCCCTATAGGCAAAGAGCAAATGAGGGAGGAATCTTTCCCAATTCCTACAGGTCTCTGTGAACGTGATAAGCATTTGCTTAAGGGTGCCATTAAAACGTTCACAGAGGCCATTGGTTTGGGGGTGATAGGGAGAGCTTAATATGGGTTTTACCCCACAGCTCTGCCAGAGCTGTTGGGTAACCACCGCGGTGAATTGGGTTCCCTGATCTGACACTATCTCCCTAAGGAATCCCACCCTAGTGAATACCTGAACTAGTGCTTCCGCTACCGTCTCTGCATGTATATTGGACAGAGCTATAGCTTCGGGGTAGCGGGTAGCGTAGTCCACCACAGTAAGAATGTATTTCTTACCGGATGGACTGGGTTTACTGAGTGGCCCGACTAAATCAACTGCCACTCGGAAAAAGGGTTCCTCAATAATGGGTAGGGGGCGTAGTTTTGCCCTGGGGTGATCCCCTCTTTTCCCTACCTTTTGGCATACTTCGCAGGTCCTACAATAATCCTGCAAATCTCTAGTGACCCCTGGCCAGAAAAAGGACTGGGTGAGTCTGTCTCTCGTCTTTTTAATGCCCAAGTGACCTGCTAGGGGAATATCGTGGCTAATCCGCAACAGTTCTACTCGATACTTACGGGGTACTATTAACTGTCTTTTTTCTACCTGGCCCGCTCCTGTCCCTGTCCCCCCAGTCACTCGGTACAGTAAACCCTTTTCCCAGCTAAACCTTGCCTGATCTCTGTCTCCCTGGGGTTGTTCTGCCTCCCTCCGATACCCTTTTAAGGTGGGATCTTCCCGTTGCGCTTGCTCAAAGTCTTGAGGGGTACCCCAGTAAGAAGTATGGTCAGGGGGAATTGTCAGAGGGTTATCGCTTACCTGGTCATGGGTTGAGAGGGAGGCTTCCATAGCTCTGGATTGCTGCTGGGTGGTAACAGGTAGTGCTCCTTCGGGACTGCAGGCTGCCAATTGGGACGTCAGGCATCCTAGATCATTCCCCAGCAATACTTCCGCGGGCAAATCTGGCATGATGCCCACTTCTACGGCCTTGGCCCCTGTACCCCAATCAATGTGAACCCGGGCTGTTGGTAGTTTGTGAATTGCCCCTCCGGCCATCCTTACAGCAATGGTGCATCCTGTGTGCTGGGTCGGGGTGACCCGGTGTGGCTGGACCAAGGTAATAGTAGCCCCGCTGTCTCTTAGTCCCCGAGCCTCTTGTCCATTGAGCTTTACTGACTGGCGGTGGTGCGCCCTGTTATCCCCAGCCGCTTGCACAGGGTTCACCTCATGTAAGGTGGCCCAATTCTCACTGTTGCTACTGGGTGTCTCTTGAGTCAGAGAGTTGTAATCCTCTTGCACACAGTGTGCGGCTGCTTTGGTTGGTGGTACCGGTGCCCGCCCCCAGCGGTCTGTAGTGCGTTGTGGGCAATTAGGTTTGATGTGCCCCACTTGCTTGCACCCATAACACATTGGAGCAGTCTTTTGGTACCCCGGGGTTGTGGTATTGCTCCCTGGTGGTGGTACCCTCTGTGGCATAGTTGGCGGGCCAGATGCAGGCCGCTGGCCCTGGACCCCTCGGTTTCCATCCATCCGCCTGCTCTCATGGAATTCGTCTGCCAGCCTTGCTGCCTCCTCCACCGTTTTTGGCTTTCTGTCTCTGACCCAGTCTCTCACCTCCGCTGGAGTATAATCAAAAAATTGCTCCAGTAACAACAATTGCACAGCATCCTCTAGGGTAGTTGCCTGATTCCCCTGCATCCAATTGCTGGCAGCGCGTTGCATACGAAATGCCCACTCCGTATATGAATCCTTGCCTTGTCTTCTGAGGGCCCTGAATTTCCTTCTATGGGCTTCAGGAGTTACAGCGTACCGGGCTAACAAAATTTATTTTATCTTGTCATAGTTTTGTATATCCCCATCTGGCACAGCTCTCAACGCTTCGGCTGCTCTACCTGATAGTTTACTACTTAATACTGCAGCCCAGTTAGCTCTTTCCAAATCTTCTAACACACATTGTCTTTCAAAATCTTGCAAGTAATTATCAATATCCATCTCACCTTCCACGAAGCTTTTAAATGCAGCGTAGTTGATTTTCCTAGTAGTAAAAAAGAGGAATGAGACAGCGCTAATTAACTATGGCAGCAACCTTAAAAAGGGAATCCCTCAAACCCTATAAAACAAGATAAGGATAAAAACAGTAAAATTGGAATTGGATACCATTCACGGAGGAGAACCTGCCCATATCCCATAAGCGGGGATCAAACCGCTGTACGCGCTTTACTCCAGAGCTGGACATTAGCTCTGGTAAATGTGAGTTTTATACTATTTATTTTACGTCTATACCTAAATTTTACATACATGTCCTGTTTTTCCTCTTTTTATTTTTCATAACGAGTGAAACCACCATATAAATAGAAGACCCCACCAACCAAGGACACCTGTAAGAATATACCAGTTGGACTTTTTCTCTATTTTTTCTTTTAGTAGTTGATTTTCCGCTGACGCCCCATTGTAGATCCAGATAGCGACAATATATCCACAGGAGGTGATCTGTCTCTGGCTTCTCGTGCTTCCCTGGCATTCTGGGACTCTGTAGCTTGTGCCAAGATCTGTACCACAATCTCTGGTGCAGGGTTAGGTCCTACCAGGCTGAGTCTCCATCTCACATCCCTCTGGAACTCTGTTTCCTCTGCATTTGCCATTTGTGGTTCGACGGTTTGATCGCTCTCCAGTAGTTCGGCTATTAACGTGGCTTTCGGTTTGTTGCTTGCCACTATGCCTCGAGCTTCCAGCAGTTCCTTCAATGTATTTCGTTTCAAGCGTTCGTATCTATGCGCCATTCACCCCTTGTTTCAATTCGGTACGTCCGTTCGGGAGGAAATCCCGCCGCTTGCCACCAGTGTAAAGGATCCTTGCATTCGTGCAGCAATTATCCTTGCAGCTTCTCCCGAAATCCAACTGAAACGAAGTGATTATAGCTCCCAATCCCCCA